TAAGGGTATTGAAATGAGAGTTTTCTAGATTATAACCAAAAAGGCTGAGGTGGTTGAGAAATGAGATAATAGTTTGTGGTTCAGGTAGTGTTGGCAGGTTATAGTATCTGAGAAATCTGTTAAAGCATAGATGTGATGAGTGTGGAAGGGGTCTTGGGTCTGGGTCAGTAGTATGTTCAGTATTATAAAGGTTAAGACGAACATCTTGTTGAAAGTAAAAATATGGGTTGTAAGTCCAGTCATCTTTGACCAGATTAGGAATAGTTTCTGATTTAACGGAGGTGATATCAAAGGTGGAAAGGGGAATAAAAGGAAAGTATTTGTAACTTTCAACTGGTGTTGTAAAATAACCACGCCGTGCAAAGTTATGTTCAGATCCAGGATAAACATATGCAATGCTGTAGTCTTCTTTAATTAATAAATAGAATGAGGAGTTGTATACATTGTTAAGGTTACAGTAGAAGGATTCAAGGTGTTTAATAAAAGAATTAATAGTTTGGGGATATGGAAGTGGAGGAAGGTAATGGGATTTTTTTTAATTCATTACGCTTAAATACCATACCATTTATTATTCGAAATGTAAATCGGAGTCTTGTGATTTATTTATAATACCCTTGCTAATACTCAGGCAATTCGAATTCTACTTTTTCTGAAAACAGAGATCTTATGTTTCATGTCAATTAAAAAGACAATACTTTTTAATTTAGTTCTTTTTACTTTAGCCAGAAGTTTTTTCGCATGGCCATAGCAATTCGATCATGTGATCTTAACAAAATAATGAAAAGATTTAAGATAAAATATCAATTGTGTATAATAACATCATTATGTGTAGATTGTTAACCCTGAATAAATTGATAACCTGTGGCATTGTTTTTATATCTTGTGTAATATGTATTTTTAACCTATTATTAAGTGAATTCCTTATATACTACAATTAGTAGTAATCTTGCTTTTATTTTTTTAAACCTTTTTACATTATGTACACTAGAAATTGAAAACAAAGACTTGATTTGGAACAGAATGAAATTAATTCGGTAGTCACTATATTTTAGTTTTATATAATTTTAAAAGTCATTAAGATTTTACATGTTTTTTTTTTTTTAGGTGGTAGATGCACTAAATCCGGCTCATCAACCTCTACAACAAAAAAAAAGCATAATACAAAACATTCTACTAGTCAATCCTTCAGAAGCGTGGATAAAGTACTATCAAACAAAAATAGCGTTGATAATATCGATGTTACTGATATTGATGATATTCAAAGTGAAAGGGTTGAAAGCCCACCTAGATCTTAATCTCTACTTACCAAAATTTTAAGCAACATATTAAAAAATCTTCTACTGCCACAAGTCATGGTCTGCCTTTTTTTTTTTTTTTTTTATTTTTTGTTTAATACTTTCATACCATAAGAATAACGTGTGTCATATTTGTCTTAAATTTTATTACCTTTCATGTTATAATTACCAATACTTAATACTGAATCGAATTTAGCCTTAAGTGAAGAAAGCGAATCGGCCAAATGTTTACTAAAGATGACTAAGAAAGTATTAGAGCAAAATGCTTCTATTATGGAAAAACAAGAAGCATTAGAAGTTATGCTAAGTCAACTTACTAATAGTGTCAAGGATTTACGATCTTCATGTAAAAATTTGAAGTCAAAGACAAAGGACAATAATGATGAATGGTGGCAGGTATATATATATTTATTGTTTAATCTAACGAAATGATAATATGTATAGTATATAATATATATATTCATTGTTTTTTTAATCTTGGATGAACGATTCTAGGTATATAAGATATATTTATCGTTTTCAAAACTTGACCAAACGATACAAGGACGTAAAATGATTTTCTATTCACATGTGACTAAATCATCGGTTATCTAATGAAAAGTTAAGATGAAATTAGGTTTGTTTTAAGAAAAATTATTAAATTAGGCTTTAATCATAATAAAATTTTTCTTATAATTTGTTGCATTACTAGTTTTAGCTAAGTTTGAACTATATGTGAATAGAAAATCGATTTTACGCTGTCCATTTTCAATATTCAGATAATTTTGCGAAACTACATATCACGTAACTTTTATTTAACGAGCAATAAGTAAACAATTGCTCAGTAGTATCTTAGATTATATCAACACAGCCAATTAGGCAATTAGGATCCTGTTGGTTTTATTAAATCACTAATAAGTTTTTCAATTTCAATTACAAAAAGGAGCAACGCAAGGGATCAAGATTGCTATAAACAATTGGCTTTATCCCAACAATAAAATTTATGAACACGCTATCAAAAAAGAGCTTAAAGCTATTTGTTCAGACTAGATGGAACGATACAAAAAAGCTTCCAGATGGGAGGCTTAATTTTGCAAAATTGAAAACTTAGTAAGTAGCATGATTTTAATCCTAGGTTCTGCAAGTGCAGGTACACATACTATTAAACATAGTGCATATTCCTGTACATAGTACTATATTTTAATAGTATGTGTACCGGCACTTGCAGAGCCCATTTAGCACATAATTTAATAATTATATTTTTTAATTTGTAGATTAGCTCAGAATCTTGTAAGTATCGTGGAGCATTATTTGGCACCTTTCATCGCTCTGTATTTGAGCATATTTTTAAAAAGAAGGTTTCTCCAACTGTTAACTCTGAAAGTTCTGAAGCCGAAATAGCTTCCTAGAAATTGAGCGAAGAAGTGCAATGGTGTTTAGACAACCTGGACGTGATAGTCGAAGAAGATGACAAAACGTACTTTCAGATGGTTGCTAAACGGGTTTTTGGAAGACAACCTACCAAAAATCAGTATGCAGTAACACATGCCATCTTACATAATCTGTTCAACTCTGAAATTACAAAAATTAAGTTTGACAAAAAATATTTAACGTGAAAAATGCAATACTTTTTGGTAAAGTATATACTTATCTTTAATATATTGCTATGTCAATACTTGGAAACTTATCAGTAATTTACATACTTTCCTTAATTATATAATCTTTGATTCACAATAGGGTAGTGATAACGATGAAGAAAATTTTGAAGATGAATCTTCGAGTATATCTGATAGTAAATGAATGCTATAACTGTTATAGTATCTAATTATTTATATTATTTATACTTTATTATAATCTTTTATATCTAATTATATGAAATTAAAATCTATTTGCTTTTAATAAAATCTATTTATTATAATTTACTAAGTTATATAATAAGTAAATAAATTTTATGTAAATTTAATTTTATAAATTTTTATGTGAATAATAAATAAATATTATTTAAAATTTTATATAATTGTAATATAAATACATATGTGTAATTTATTTATATTTGAATTTTATCAATTTTGCATAAACATTTAATAAATTTTAATTAAACGTTATATATATATTATATAAATATATACATATAATTTATTTATATTTTTGATTTTATAGATGTTATATAAAATTTAAATAATTATTATTTAAAATTTTACATAATCCTATATATATGTGTGTTTATGTGAAAATTATAGCTATATAAGTTTACATTGGATTTGTAAGTTTATATATAATTTGTATATATAATTTAAGTAGATATTTTATATAGCTTTACATAAAAACAACTTCGTGATGAAATACTGTACGATATTGCTTCTATTTTGAATAAAAACTGTATAAAGGCTAACAAAACTATAATATATTTAGGACAAACTTTTTTATAGGGAAGGAATTATTAAAGAGCTATCTGATTTGTATAATAAACATCGCAAAGCTATTTTTATGTAGATTTACATAAAATTTTTATATAAATTATATTTAAAAATTTTACATAAATCTACAAACCCAATATAAACTTACATGGCTATATTTTTATATAACTATATATATATATATAATTATATAAAAATTTTAATAATATTTATTTAAATTTTATATAAAATAATAAGATATAAAATATATATAAAATTTATATGATAATTATATTAAAACGTATTAAAATTTTATTTAGAATTTTATTTATTATTTATTTAATATTAACTTTATATAACATTTATATAATAATTATATTAAAACATATTAAAATTTTATTTATTATTTGTATAATATTAAATTTATATAAATTTATTGAATTATTGCACCATTTGTAAATAACTTTTTAAATAAATTATAATTTAAAACCAATAAATTTTGAATTTATATAGAATATTACATACTTCTAAATAAAGCATAAATAAACAATTATATGACTAAATCATTCAATATTATGGTTAATGCAAGCTTTCTATTTTTTTCTTTTGGAAGACGATTTCAAGAGCTTAAATTACGATATACGATGTGATATCTATTCATTATCAGATATACTTGAACCTTCCAAATTATTTTCACAATCGCTATCATTATCATTATGCTGTTATAAATTATTTAGTAAAATTAAATAAATCTTTAATGAAATTTGCAGAACATGGTAATATATTGTAATAGTGCTATGCTCAATACTTTTGAAACTCTAAATGCAAATAAGTACATTACCAAGAAAGATTGCAATTTCTGTGTTAAGTATTTTTCATCGAATTTAATTTTGGTAATTTCAGGATCGAACAGGTTATGTAAAATTGCGCGTGTGATGGCGTATTGATTCCTTGCAAGCTGTCGTCCAAACACTTTTTTGGAAACCATCTGAAAATATGTCTTGTCTTCCTCTTCAATCATTGTGTCCAGGTTTTTAAGACACCATTGTACTTCATCACTCAACTTCCAGGAAGCTATTTCAGCTTTGGAGCTTTCAGAGTTAACGGTTGGCGAAACTTTCTTTTTGAAAACGTGTTCAAATATAGAACGACGAAAAGTCCCGAATAATGCACCACAATACTTGCAAGACATAGCACTAATCTATATTCAAGAGTAAAATAAAAAAATAAAACAAATCAATCAAATAAAATAATATAATAAAATGAACCTATATATTAAAATTATGCTACTTACCGAACCTTTGATTTTACCATACAAGGCTTCCCATTTGGAACCTTTTTTGTATCTTTCCATTTTTTCTGGACAAATTGCCTCAAGCTCTTTTCAAATAGTTTGTTCATAAATCCTATCACTAGGATAAAGCCAATTGTCAACAGCGACTTTGATCCCTTGCATCACACCTTGATAGTAACTTTTGTGAATTTTTTTGTGATTTTTAAGACTGGTTAGACGATCAAATCTTCTTTTACACACCCGACAATTAAACATTGAGAATAGCTAAAAATAATTTAAAATCAAGCTTAAATGTTAAATAATAGCTTGTTATAGACTAATTATAAATATTTTGTTTTACCTTTTGTTTTTTTTTGTTTTATTATAAGAACATATAAAAGCCTATTTTTGCTTAATATGTAATAACTTTAAATACTTTTTTTTTTGAGTGCTTTTTACTTGAATTACATTATTTGATATTACGCACATATTGTTTCAATTAATACATTATTCTCTTTTTTTAACTGACAATTAAAATTGAATATTCTAGATTATTATGTAAAGTCGAATAATCAATAGAATATTCGAATATATTACACAGTTAGATCATAACTAGTACTAGATAATGGTAGAACAAATACATATTTAAGTGGATTACTGATCAAACAATTACGTATATTACATGAAGTCTTGAGTATATGGGGGTGAGTCAATAGAAATCAAGCAAATTGTTTTTATTGAATTTTTTTAAAACTTTATATAC